AGCCCATCGTAAATCGTTCTCCATCCTCCAACCTGTAGTTCAATAATAACACACAAATTCGTTCATATTCATCAAAATTAATCTTATTGTAATTTAATCTCTCCAAGAAAGGAAAATGGTTATTTTGAATTTGAAACATGAACTTCACCTGTTTGCTGGTATACCAGGGAGTCCAATCTTCAACAATGCGCAGTCCCAACTTTTGCAAACTGTATCTTGTTCCAGTCACAGGAACTGATCCATCAGTATCTCCACTGTATATAGAAACAAATTTTCAGGATATCGTTGTGCACCAAAGAAATTTCGTGCAAGAATGTTGTTGATTGAAATCTATTAACCGGTTATCTCTGATTTTTTGTAGAGACTAACAAATATGTTAGTAAAATAGTGTACCTGTAAACCCAAATGCGAATACCACCAGCAGCAAGCTTCTTGATGACAGGAAGAATGGACGCGGGTGCGTCATTCCAACCATCGATAATGTTACTACGGACAAGAACAAAAGCAACAACATCAATACATGTTCTGTTCATCATGTATGTATTTGCCGATCACAGATGTTTTAACATTAATATCATCAGTTGATGTTATGTCTCGAACTTCTGTATCTGTCATAACTAGAAAAGATGAACAAGAAAATAGAGAAGATGGATGAGAACCTGCAATGAGTCCATGGATAGGAAAGTTTGGTGACATTGGCATGTAGTGCCTTTTGGACTTCTGGCCTGTTTAGGTAAACTCCAGTGTAATCGGATGCACAAGGATCATACCCAACTGACTTTTTAGGCCATTTATTCTGTTCAAATAAAAAAATTACCAACATGCTCTGTATATTACCTTAAAGTAATGAATTTATGAATATATATCATTCAACTTTTTCATTTTTTCTAATAAGAATGAGATTTAGACTCTGTTTAGATACTAATAATTCTTAATATGGTTTTATTTACCAGTTAACGTAGGATTTTACTAATGAGACAGAAAATAGTAGGCGAAAGCTCACAATTTTGGAAAAAGCTTTTGTGGTTGTGCTGCTGATGTTGCTGAGACATAAGGGAGTGTACAAGCTATGAATGTCGATAACGTCATACGCATCGAAGAGCTTATCCAGATATTCATTGCATTCGGCTGTTTGATTTTGAAGTTTGAAATTGCATTTGGTTGTAATGTTATGGTATAATCCATCAGATATCACAGCATGATTCCAGGCATAATCTACATAACCCTTTTGATCTGTTTCGTCGTCCAATACTGCATTTCCAATCTGCACAACCGATACCATTTTCTCAAACAAGTTAGTATTTGTTTCATGTAGTTTCTTTAGGATTTCTATTCTTCATTGATTTGTTTTGACACCTATACGAGAGAGTTTTACCATGAATCCCTTGAAGTTGATGTAGTCTTTCATGGCAGGATTGCGATTGTTATCGAAAATGAGCTCCGACAGTTGTGGAACGTAGTGCCCTGAAATGTTGAAACAAATGAAATTTAATATGAAAAGAAGATGCAAATCACATCATACGTAAAGAAATATATTTGGAGTGTTAGAAGATAGATACCTCCATAGCTTTCGCCAGCAATGTAGAATTCGTGTGTTCTGAATTGCGGAAATCTAGCGAACCACTTGACTATGAAGGCGTGTGAATCCTTAGCTGATGTTGGAAAATTACTAGCATCACTGAATCACTCTTTGTAGAAGCAACTGAAAAATCATAGATGACAGTAACATTACCAGTAATGGCGTCACCGAGCTCGTACAAATCTCTGCTGGTGTTGGTGTAGGAGAATCCCACTCCGACAGGGCTTTCCAAAAACAAAAGATTGGCAGCTGCAGAACTCATATCGGTTAACAAGGATCATCATTTTTTCTAGCTTAATCTTTTTAAATAATAGATACTTATATTGATGTTTATGATACAAAAATACTAGTGTTAACATCAATTTCTGAGTTAAGCATGTAAATTGACCCACCATTGTTCCATGAATAAGGGTTCAACGTTAGCTGTGGATGGCTACTGTTCTGGGGAAAGAAGGGTCCTAACTCCTCTGCTTCTCCATAACCGATTGAGGAACAACCTGGACCTGAAAATATTCATGCTTTTTCATCATATAGGTTGGAGTATCTCACATTGGTAATCGCGTCTTATAAACCGATTTTGTGAGATTAAATTAGGTTTAAGGTTCAGATAATATCATAACTTAGTTAGAATATATGCTAACGATATATTCTGAATTAGACTTAAAGTTTACCTCTTAACCGTATTAAAATCGATCATTAACTCAATAAAAATATATTTGTAACTTGCTAAAGACTAATAAATAATTGATTAAGGATGATTGCAATGGAATAAGGCAACATTTTTAATAGAGAAGTTCCAATTGGACAAGGATAATAGGATAATGGCTGCAAATCTCGTATCATTAACAAGTGATAAAGACAGCTTCCGGCTCTCCAATCCCATACTCATATCCATAGTTGCTGAAACCTTTTTATCTGATAACTGAGTTAAGGAAGAGCATTGTTGAAAATTAAGGAAAGTTTAATTAATTATTCCGTATGAATTTTGCCGGGTAGAACGAAGATTAAACATTAAAAGTATACTTAATTTGATTACATTGGTTAAAATATGCTACTAAATATAAGAATATGCTACCATTACTTAATTATCACAATCATTCATGAGTAAGGAATTAGGTACATACCTCCATTTAGCCACAATAAAACTGGTTTTTCCTCTGGTTTGAAAGTGGCTTCAAAGAACCAATAAAACAATGCTCTTCCATGAGTTTCATTGACAGTGATATAACCTGCATAATGTTTGAATTTCACTGGTGGCTGCCCTGGTAATGTATAAACTCTATCAGCTTCTTGTTCTGCCAGTAATTCCCGGCTAACATAATTATAATTGTCAGTTACTGAAAGCTTTGACACAGCTAAAGCTTTTTTGTTGAAAGAGAAAAGAAGCAGAAGAACAATATTGGAAATAAGTGAAGACAAAGACATAATTTCTATGGACACACTTCATTCTGCAGTTGGTGTGGGACTTAAATAAGGAAGGGACTTTAGAAATGAGCCAAGAATATGATCACTTATTACATTTATGACTTTAATAAATTAAAATTATTTGTATTATTTAATATAAAGACTTGGTTATGGTTACATTTTTTTTCTGTTTAATTACACTTTTAATGTATTTAAAGCAATTATTCAATGTTTTATTTTTTATATTTTTTATTCGTCTGGATATTTATTAAAAGAAGTCAATATGATTTCTTTTGGTTTACTGAGTATTAAGTTAGACATTTGCTAAACCTTTTTTCTTTCTTTTTCAAATTGGTTCTCTTTCTTTTCCATTTTCGTTTCTTCTCCAACAAGAAAAGAAATCTTTGGTGGTAGAGTTCAACCTATTCTTCCTTTTCGTTTCTAATGAAGTTGAGGTGTAGAGGATTAACCCAAATGACCATATGTGAAATCCAAGCTTGTAAGTTTTTTTGTTTTGTTTTGGTAATTAGTCTTCTCGCATGCTTTAAAATGTCTTGCATGGTGCTTGATTTCTTATTTTTCTTTTAACAAGATAAATGTGTTGGAGAATAACTTTCCGTGGTTGAGTGAAGAAATTGATGGGAAAAATGATTTAAATCCTAGATGTTTCAATTTCATAGATTTCGTAAGAGAAAATACAAATAGAGAAGAATACAAACATAAGAAAGGACAAGAAGAAAAAGAACTTACTATAAATCAAATCATAATCTATAATGATGTTAAAATAAGAAAATAAATCAAATCATAATCTATAGTTAACGTTGATTTGATGGAAAGATTATGATAAGTGTCTAGTATACCTTAAAATTTACAACAAAATAAATACTTGTGAAGCTTGATTTAATTGAATTTCATAAGAAAATAAATCTTTTTTAGTTTAAAATGCAAGATGAGGTATCAAAGAACTAAATTATATGAAAATATGATATTATTATGTTATTTTACAACAAAAGGAAGAAATGACAAAAAAAAAAGAAAATAAGTCACAAAAATGAATGTTAAACTTTGTATTTTGATAATTAACTTTCTATTTTGATAATTAACGATGAAATCTTGAATGTGGTAAGCAGAAATTTATTGAAAATTGAAATTTATTGACAATGATTCGACTAAAAATTACCACAAATACATGAATTTTCTAAGGATAGAATAACAATGAATATATTCAGATAATTAAATTTAGAATAATATGTAATTCTGTTATTTCTTTATGACTATTGAGGTGTAATGCATTACGATACAATTTGTTTACTTAATATATGTTTATTTATTTTTTAAATTAGTTTATCTTGTACTTGTGTCTTCTTGTATTTTTTTTTACAATAATAACTAGTATCAGCGTATAAAGAAACATTTAATAATGTACCTTAAAAAGGAAGAGATTGATATTGTTGTTTAGTTATCAGGTTCTTCTTCCCATTTATTAGAATCTTTTGAAAAACTTTAAGTTTCTTTATTTTACCATAATTTCTTGAAGTTATATATTTCAAGTGAGCATAATTATATTTTAAAATAATTATAATAACATTTACATTGATTATGGATTATCGATTTTATTATTAATTACGTAATGTGTTATTTTAATAATTTTATTATATTAAAATAGAACGTCATAAAATTAATTTGTTTACCATAAATGGAAAATTATACATGATGAATAATTGTAGTGTTGTAAAAAACAAATTAACCTGGAAATATAATAATCTTCTCTCATGTTTTTAAAACTGTTTGTTAATATTGGACATAAAATTTATATTCATATAACAACTTTTACTTATAATAGTCAAAACACAGTGGTATGTATAGTTATTTTTTTATGATTTTAAAAAACAATAAAACGATTATTATTATTATTATCATTATTATAAAATTAAATATAATATTATTGTAAATAATTTCTCTCTCCCTCTCATATATCTTCACGACCAAAAGCAAAACAAAAAGGAAATGCACAATAAAAATACAGTAACAGTTATGATATTGCAGCAACACAACAAGAGTAATATTTAAGAAAACTAACTTGAAAGTGGGCTTCTTAAACATTCAGAATCAAGACATGTTCATTCTTATAACGCCAAAGAAACTTGAAAACGTTAAATGAATAGAAAAGTGATTAAATTGGTCGAGATGGTAATTTCTTATTATCTATGAAGTGTTGAAGTAGCTGCAGAGCTTGCTTGGGAGTGAAAGTTGGAACTTGATGGCCAGCACCTCTTATGGTAACAAAAGTAAGTCCATCGTACACGATGCTCCATCCTCCCACCTGTCACACCCCACAACAATTTCTTCATTCATAACTTAACAACTAAAATAAGATTAATTACACACTAATTACACACTAATTACTTCTTTACCTGACGGCTAGTATACCATGGACTCCAATCCTCCACAATGCCAAGTCCCAATTTTCTCAGTGTGTATCTTGTTGCTGTTACTGGAATTCTTCCATCAGTGTCTCCACTGTTGAAGAAACCAATCAAAATAAATATTAAACTTAACTTATTCTTATAAAATCGGTTGATTTGCATGCAAAAGTATATGTTTTTGCAGTAATGTTATGTACCTGTAAACCCAGATGCGAAGACCACCAGCAACGAGCTTTTTGAGGACAGGAAGAATGGTCTGTGGTGAGTCATTCCAGAATGTGATGTTATCACTAAGGACAAACACGAGATAGGCAACATCAATACATATATAGTTCATTTGATCATGATTTATCTACCATGTAACAATAAATATAGCACAAAATAAGGTTGAGTTTCATGATGTTTTTCACTGTATAAAACTGAACTTAACCTATCACATGAATAAATGTCTTAATCTGAAAGGGTGGATGAAAACCTGCAGTGAGTCCATGGATAGGGAATTTTTGTGACATTGGCATGCAGTGCCTTTTGGACTTCTGGTCTGTTCAAGTAAACTTCAGTGTAATCGGATGCACAGGGATCATATCCAGCTCGTTTTCTTTGCCACCTATTCTGTTCAGATATTTTCTGTAAGATCTACAAAATCGACCTTCTCTATTTACACACACTAAAGCTTACTTTTTTTTGTGTCCAAGATTAATTCTTAAAGTAAATTTTAAAACATCGATATGTAGTGAATGGAGGAATTTTACTTTAGAGATAAAAAGTTGGTGGAAAGCTCACAATTCTGGAAGAAGTTTGAGAGGCTTCGTTTGTGGAGGTGCTGCTGAGGTTGCTGAAACACCTGGGAGTGTACAAGCTATACATGTCAATAATCTTATACACATCGAAGTACTTATTCAGTTCCGTGTTGCATTCGTCTGTCTGGTTCTGAATTGGATGATTGAAATCGCATATGGCTGTGATGTTGTGGTATAGTGCATCCGATATCACTGCATGATCCCATGCATAATCTATCATACCCTTTTGATCTGTTTCGTCGTCCAATAATGCATTTCCAATCTGCACAAACATTACCACTCTCTCAAATTAATACGTTAATATAAATATAAAACATCTAATGTAAAATGCAATATAATGTAATGTAATGAGAGAATTTTATACCAGAAAACCTTTGAAGTTAATGTAGTCTTTTTCAGCATGGTTGAGATTGTTATCGAAGATAAGCTCAGAAAGTTGTGGAACATAGTGCCCTGAAAAGTCAAATTTTAGTATGAAACGAATAAAGGTCTGTGTTTTAGAACATATATATAGATATATACCTGCATAGCTTTCACCGGCAATGTAGAACTTGTGTGATCTGAATTGTGGGAACCTCCTAAACCACTTGATGATAAAGATGTGTGAATCTTTAGCTGGTGTTGAAAACACAGTAGCATTAATAAAATCAAAAGAACAAAAGACTAAAAATACATGTTATGTGACAGCAATATTACCAGTAATGCTGTCACCAAGCTCAATTATGTCACTGCTGGTGTTGGTGTAGGAGAATCCCACTCCAACAGGGCTTTCCAAAAACAGAAGATTCACAGCTGCAGAAATCATATCGGTTAACAATGTTCATAACTTTTTCTAGGATGTTTTTTAACAATATAGATACTTATGTTGATGTTTATGGTGCAAAACATCAACTTCTGAGTTAACAAGAATGTAAATTATCCAACCATTGTTCCATGAATAAGGGTTCAACTTTAGCTTTGGCTGGCTACTGTCCTGGGGAAAGAAGGGTCCTAATTCCTCTGCTTCTCCATAACCGATTGAGGAACAACCTGGGCCTGAAAATATTCCTTGTATTAATTCTATATAGAAACGTGAATTTGTGTCACAATAATAAGTTAGATAATAATACATTAATATATATTTTTTACAATATTTTAATATATTAAATTTATCAGTTTTTTATTAGATTTAGAACACTTCAGTACAATAATAAATAAATAATAAGTTAATAAAAAAATTGATATGTCACAATATTTTTTAATATCATTTGTTTTGTTTATTTTGTTGGTGAAGAAAAAAATAAGTGTCTCAAATAAAGAAAAGGAAATTCTATTATATTTCCAATTCTTTTATGCTTTTTTTTTGTAATTAATCAGTATATACATCAATAAATCAGATACATGACGAATGTATATATTAATAAAAACAAATAAAAGATGTAACGTATAACCTACTTCGAAAGTGACGGCTATAGATGGTGATATATATATATATATATATAAAATAAGGTACAAAACGTAATAATGAGTTGAAAAATAAAAATCAAATTTAATCTAATTGGAAAAGTTCGTAATGCTACATTCCAACTTCCATGTAATTATCATTGTAAACAGAAAAGTAAGTTATATTTATCTAAAAGAAAAAATTGTAATGATTTGGGATTCCAAGATTGAATGAACGAATCCATTGATTCCAACGTGGAGTTGTTCAAAGAGCTTAACTTTCATAAAACAAAATCATTGAAAGGCTTAACAACCTTCACGAAGATGGGGAAGTGACAACCACACTTTTTTATTCATTTAATAATGAATATCAATATAACGTGTATAAGTCCAAAATGAATTTAATTACATATTATTATAATTCTAAATTAATTTTTTGGTTTTATTGAATAATTTAAATATATGATACAAGGTTATTTATCTGGGCCAAATACTTTTTAATAAAATTATTGAAATTAAATTTGGATACATATGATAAAAAGGAGTAAATTGAAAGCGATTAGTAGCCAACAAATAAGTCTAGGAATAAAGACAAAAAAAGTGATGCTTTGATGAGAATTACGTCAAATTGCATCTTTAAAAGATATAAATGAGAAAGTATTAATGATGTTATTATTAATCTTTAAACATATTTTTAACAACTCCAGAAAAAAAAGGATATATCGATCAAATTAAATTGATTTTTTTTATTTATGTGCTTACATATGAAATGTTTAAACTTTATTAAACCTTATTCCAAAAATAATGATGAACTGTTTAAAATATGGGATGTTAACCATGTTATTATACATCTAAATAATTTCAGAGGATACTATATACTGAAATTACATATACCAAGAATATTTAAATTGATAAAATACAATTTTTTTTTATAAAAATGAAAGTAAAATGTATTAACTTTACTATTATCATCATAGCATATTCAAAGCTAGTATAGACAATTTCGAAACAGTTAACGAACAAGAAGAATATCTTCAAACTTCAAAGTTAGAACTTTTTTTACATATGCACATGCTTGCTAATGTTTTATCATTTTTTTTATGCTGGTGTTAGTAATCTAAAGTTTTCTTGCCTTTATGTTCCTATCAACACAAGAAAAAGTGGGGTTCTCACTTGGGTTCAAAGCAATATTCATTACTTCAATTCAATTTCATTATGGCAGTTTCAGCTGCAAGTTGAAGCCACTGACTGAAGACTTTATAGTCAACTTTCCAATAACAGCATGCTTCCTCCATTCAATTATATACTTTTCATACAACTGAATAATTTAGCAGCTACACCTTTCAATCTCAGTTAAGCAAATGAACTTGGAAAAGGATCACACAACCTATGACTCAAATCTGTTATTGTCAGACTTCGCAAGAAACATCTCATTAATTACTGATAACAAAATATGAAGGATGTCGCAAAGTTGGTTTTCTCTTCTATAAGAATAATGGCTGTGTAAAATTAACATGAACATGACTGGGTAAAGATTAAAAGAGATCATACGAGAAAACAATCTTATCAAATTTGGCATAACATGTTGTACACGACTCTGAGAACGATAGCTCTGATATTAAGAAGTGAACTTTAAATCTAATTTAACTCTACAAAATCGGTATGTAAAGTAAGATTTGTATTTATTTGTATATTATAAATTGGTTTTATCTCGTGAGATTTCAAACAATATTATATTCAATGTTTTGTTTTCCAACCATGATGTTTTGCATTTAATCTGATTAGTTATATGTTATTACTTTAGGATTCAGACAATGAATAATGCTGCATAACTTGCGCCAAGGAATGACCTGGAGTCGTATATTGGCATGCAACATTTTGTTCTAAAGCATTACTTTTACATCCTTAGAATGTGATGAGGGTGCACGTGTTTCAGCTATACAGAAGAGTTTTGTTGAAGCTTCTCGAATTTAGGTCGTAGAAACTAAGGAAAGGCCCCATGTTTGCTTCCGAATTTGTTTTTAGCAGTTTTCTTTTCTTTTCTTTTCTTCCTTTTCTTTCCCTAAAGAAGACTTTGTCTTTAACCAGATTTATATACACACACTCCCAAGTATCGTAATTGACACGGAATTCTTATGTGACAACATACGAATAACAACATTTTTTCTTGTCACAATCATTCACATGATCAATTGGTAAGACTCAGAATTCAGCTGGTAATTACCATTACCAGTAATACTAATACGTGATATTCTGATGTTACGATAAGAACAAAATTCTGGTTAAACTATTCACGTGAAGCAATTATGTGTTGATGAAGCTAGCCATGAGATAATAATAACAGTGAAAATGAGTTTGTGATTAAGTACCTCCATTGAGCCATAATAGAACTGGTTTTTCTTCTGGTTTGTGAGTGGCTTCAAAGAACCAATAAAACAGTGCTCTTCCATGAGTTTCATTGACAGTGATATAACCTGCGTATTGCTTGAATTTCACCGGTGGTTGCCCTGGTAATCCGTAAACTCTATCGGCTTCTTGTTCTGCCAGTGTTTCCCGGCTAACGTAATTATCATTATCGGTTACTGAAAGCTTTGACACAGATAAAGCTTCTTTGGTGAAAGAGAAAAGGAGGAGAAGAAGAATATTGGAAATAAGTGACGACAAAGCCATGACTGATAATATGTGTTCCTCAATTTCTGTGGACTCACTTCCTCAAAAGTTGGCGATGTGGGCTTTGGTTTAAATAAGGAATTGTAGGCACTGTTGCTTTATCTCTAATACAAAAAATTTTCTTATAATACCCCAAAACCACACGTTGGAATTTACTTTTCTTTTTGTTTCGTTCCATTAAAAATTAAAAGCAACTATTTGAAATAAATAAGCTTTTTATATACCCAAAATTATTCTGTAGTAAAATTGGTACCTGTAGAAATTTTTTAGTGATTTTTCACCGTTAACAATTGATAAATATATTAATTTGATTCTGATAATTAACAACAGTCTTGTTATGAATTACGAATTGATATAGGTATACTAAGATATGATAATCAAAATTAAAAGGTTTATAATTCAAAAGTAATAAAGTAACGGTTATTATTAAATATAATACATACATAATTTTAAACAGACATAAATAAAATAAAATAAATAATTATTATTTTAATAATTTTTATTTTTAATTTAAAATAAAAAATTAAAAAATTCATAAATTATTCAAATATCTTTAACTTTAAAATTTATAATCCATAATATATAAAAATATTTTTGTCAATTAAAATTTGATAGATTTTAAAAGGTTACATAAATATATATATATATATATATATATATATATATTTATTTATTTATTTGTATATCTTTATATTAATGTTTGAAGACATTAATTAATTAATTAATTAAGAAAAACATAGACAAAATTAGAAAATTTTGACTAACATGAATGAAAATAATTTAAAATATTGGTTTGAACTGGTATCAAAAAAATGAAAATTTAAATTTAATCTAAATTAATTCTTAATGTAGAAGTGAGTATAAATTGTTTAATGTTTATTCACACTATTTTTCTATGTTTGGTACATTATTTTAATTTTTTTCTTCTCAAAGACGATTTTTATTTATATTTTCAATATTAGCACACTTGATTTAGTAAAGTTCTAAACCAAATTCATATTAAAAGTGGTAAATAATTAAGTTTAAGAACAATAGTACTAATAAATAACTATAATACATTTATCATAACTTTCAAAAGAAAAATAAAATATAACATACATTAATTTAATTTATTGTCTTTATCAAACATTAAATTTGTAATTAGTTTTTTTTTTTAAGTGGTGAAGGTATTATCTTCAAATCGTTTAAGAATATCCACCAAAGTAAACAATCAAACAAGTAGACATGATGTGTTTTTTGTCAACACTACTTTTACTAGTTTCGATGTGTCTTCGTAGGATAATTTAAGAGTGAAAATGCTATGGACATTATTAAGAATATTTATGTTCAAATTAAAGTGTTTTTAGTTAATCTAATTATGTTTTTATGAGCTAAGATTAGACATATTCTGTTCTCTTAAAGACAAGTTTTGTTTTTACTGGATTTTTCAAAGGTTTGAAGATTGAGTGGAAGTGGAAGTTTTGCATTGAAGGGACGTTATTTTTCGAAAGATAATGATACTTTGACAACATTTTAATAATGTCTACGTGTCATTCTGTAATTGGTCTATATTGGTGTTTATGATGATTATTATTGATTGTGAAATAATTTTAGACCAATCACAGAATGACACGTAGATAATGTTAAAATATTGTCAAAAAAATGTTGTCAAAGTATCATTGTCCTTTTCCGAATGGTCAATTGCTTTGGGTTCAAATGTTTGAAATTTTTGTCAACAAACATATCATCCACACACTTTCTTTATAATCACGTCTACAATTTTTACATTAAATATGATTTGAATTTAATCATAATTTATATACGGTTAAAAAAATATATAAATAAGTATAAATTTTATCCTATAAATTTATAAAATAAAATTAATTTAAAATATATATACAAGTTTAAATTATAATTTATAAATATGAGATTGAAAAAAATTAAAATTTATTTTTTAATTAATTTATGTATATATATATATAGTTAATTTTTTTCGTTTAATAATTATTCATAACTCATAATTGTGTGGACAGCTTGTTCGGCTACATAGTATTATGCGATTGGCTGCAACCAAAAAAGCTAGTGAATAGAGTTACAGGGACACTACAATGTGAATATTCAACTCCAATTTTCTGCCGGCAATTAGAAAAAGTTACATTTTATTGATCGGCACAAAACGGCGAGGTGAACGAGAAAGATGGAAATAATTAATTATTTATTTATATAAAAATAAATATTTGTTTCAATTAAATTTTAAGTTAGAATAAATTTAATTATTTTTAATTGAATATCTGTTAAAAATATTTAATTTAATTTATTTTTGTTTAAATACTTGGTTATTCCATTTTGTGGTCAATAAATAATGTTACTATTAATTCGTGCTTTCTTTCTCAAATCTTATCTAAGTTGGTTGTCAAACCACTTTTTAAAAAATAATGACTGATTTGATAAATGATTAATTTGAGAAAGTTGAAGAGAAAAAAAAAGTTGATAGAAATAACAATATAATCCGTTGAAAGAAAAAAAAATCAAATTGTGAAATACTTAAAATAAAAATTAAAAATATTTTTTAAGTTGTTAATAAAATAAAGAATCCTAGTAAAATTTTAGTTAAAACACTAAATGTGTGATATAACTAAAACTTCATTACATACTTATAAGTAATTTATCATAAATTTATATTTCAATGCGGTATACAAAAATCATAGGAGTGCAATTTGAAATTCAAGAGGTGAGGAAAGAAATTGCCATACACAAGATGAATTATGTAATGTTGGGGGCCCAAAAGCCCAGTTTGACCAAACTGGATTAGTTTGATACTCTTGCTGTGAATTTTGCTTTTCCCGCCATTTCCCGCGAAAACAGCGCGAAAAGCCCAATTTAATTTCCACAGATAACAGTAGAAAGATGGTGTGCTGTGGAAGGAGAGTGATCAGTGAGAAGTGAGAAAAATGGAGGGAAAAGGAACAGCAACCGCCACAGGCTGTTACAAGTGCGGCAGACCAGGTCACTGGTCACGAGACTGTCCTTTCTCTGCTCCCAATTCCAATCCAAACCCTAACGCCTCCACCAATCCCACTCCTGATCCTTCTTCCTCTTCTTTCAAGCCCAGATCCGCCGCCGAAAAGCCCAAGAAACTTCCCCGAACAAGGCCCAAACTAACACCGGAGATGCTTCTCTCCGACGACGGTCTCGGTTACGTCCTTCGCTATTTCCCTCGCCAGTTCAAATACCGTGGTCGCGGCCATGAGGTGAATTCCTTATTCAATTAATCTCAGTCACTTTCTTTTTTTCTCTTGATTCAACACGCCCACTGTGAAATTTGAGCAAGCTTATGTGTTTGAGGTTCTTTTTTTTTTTTTAATTTTTCTAAAATTTGTTTCTCTCTACGTTACGAATGGTCATTGGGGGCTTAGTTGTCGCAACTGGCTCGGTTTGCTTTTTTGGTGGGTTTGTTTCACGTGTAGTTTTGGACCACTCCTTTGAATTGTTTTATGATGCGTGTGCTTTTTGATTAGGTTCGTGACTTGGGTAATCTGCTTCAGTTGTACACTGAATGGCACTCTCGCTTGCTTCCTTATTACTCTTTCAATGAGTTTATTCATAAAGTGGAGAAAGTTGCCGCTACCAGGCGTGTCAAGGTACTGTTTCTGCTCACTACATCTCTTCAAACTGTGTATCATCGTGTATTTGTTTAGTTGAAGATTTTGGCATGCAATATGCGTCGATACAAAGAAAGATAAAAGAGTGCTAGATAGGTCATATCATACCGTTAAGTGTCTGTCACACTAGTTTAAGAATTGTACTATTGCTGTACGTCTTGTTACCAATTTGTAAAATTGATTTAATCAACTTGTCTGTTAAGTTATTCCTAATTGTCATGTTGGTATGGCATAGTTAATTTCACACGCACTGGGTTCTTGTCGGACGATACTTTGATGTAGTTCTTTTGGTATTGTTCTTCAATTAAAATTAGATTCTCATCTTTGTAACCTCTACAATAAGGGTTTAGCAAACATCTTTGTAACCCGTACAATAAAGGTTTAACAAAGTGAAACATTAATTTTAAACGTTGGAAAATAATAAAATTACTCAATGAACGACGTCAAAAATTGTTCATTGTTTGTTGAGAAGTCTACTGTGTTTTTTATGATATATTTATGGAATTGAAAGAATCTTGGGTTGTGGTAAAGTTTTATAACTACGATGATACTTTCAGATTGGCAATGGATTTGGTAACATGTGGACAAAATTTTGTTCTATGTTAAGCACAATGCTATTGGAAACTTTATTGTAATCTAGAAGATTCAGTGAGATCTGTGTATTAACAAGAATTCTATAGTGATCCAAGAGCCTAATGTTAAAAGAATTGTTGTTATAACCTATAATGATTGAAGTGGAGTATCCATGACCCATGGTAACCAAAATGCATATCAAATGGAACAATCATCATTGGTACTTGCTTTGGTGTAGTTATTTGTTGCCGAATATGCACATATTCGTTTGTTTTTCTTGCAAAGAGGATGAAACTTCTTTAATACGAACACAGCATCTATGTTTCCAGAACAGATTGCCGTAAAAGATTTTCATTGAATGCCTGTTTTTGAAATCAATTGATGCATACATGATATAAAGGATTTCTCCATTTCATCTGGTCTCTTTTATATGAAGTCTGTACGTGTTTGTATTTGTTGAGAGGACGTGTCTCTTGCATGTACATGTACTTGCATTGCTTGAGTGATGCATGCATACCTACAGTTTTTCAATCTACACAAAAAAGGATTTTTAGTGAGTATCGGTTAACTTTTTCTCCTGTTTTATAATCAGACTTGCCTTTTAGAATTGAGAGAAAGAGTTGCAAATGGTGGAGATCCAACAAAACTGCGCGAACCTCCAGTTGTGGATGACATTTCAATTGATGAACAGGGTATTTATTTCACCTTATTTTTTCTATCAAGGTCTCTAGACAGATTAGTCTTGTTGGTTTTAAGCCTTAACTTCTGCTCTAATGGACGTGTGAATATAAATTAATTACACAGAACAACACCTAATAGGACATACAATATTTTTGCATGTTATTTTCAGCTA